ATCTGTTTTACAACCTTGCACTGTTTTTAAGGATTGCAACTTATTCTGTCAATACTTCTCTCCTTGCTTGGCTTTGAGAGTTAGCAGTAACAAGAGATATGAATATTTATTTGATATTTACTGTGAAAAAGAAAAAGAAATCTAGTGACTTTACCCTACTATGGAAGTAATTTTCAAAGGTTATAGACAAGATACATATGTAAAGAAAGAATGTATTTTGATAGTTACTGAGAATGATGCATAGAGATAGAGGGAAATGGAAACAGTCATCTAATAGAGCATAAGAAATAGTCAAACAACACAGGTACAGCTGCTGTGGCCTCATATTTATTACGAAATGATGAAAATATCCGCTGCTTATCATTGCTCAGAGACAAAGTCCACAACACCCTTACACAGCCAGAGTTCTTAATGTCATAATTTCTGTAAGTTGGCAGGAAGTTCTAATAAAGTGAGGTAGAGGGACACTTGCCCTCTTGTCTAGGGAGTAGATAGAAGGTAGGAAAGGGTAGGCTTGGATTCCTGGGTTCTCATGATTCCTTGAAGAGTGGGTCGCTCTCGGTGATAAATTCCATTTTGATTTTATGTTTGAAAATAAATGAATTATTCATGTAAGATAAGCAAGGAAGGCACAGTGTTTTGTATTTTTATTTTTGTAATTCAAATAATTTTGAATTTAATTTCCGTTGCAGACTAGTAGATTGTATTAGCAAATTCCTCTCCATCCCTGCAGACAAGTGGATTGTATTAGCACAATTCCTCCCCATCCCTCAGATTAGGAAATGTTTGTCTAGGACAAGGGGCACAAATTTTGTATCTAACATGTACTTGATTTCTGCTTAATGTCAAGTATTTTAGAGCAAAAAGATGTAACTTTAGTACTTTTAGAATATGAATATTTTTTTTTGCCCATATGGCACACAAAATGCAGAATGATTGCAGTTACTTATATGCTAGTTAGTGCATTGGTAAAGGCCCAACAAACTTCCACCTTGTATATTCTGGTAAAATTTACATGGACTGGTTCTTTATTTGATTATAGAACCAGAGGGCATCATCTACTAATACAGCCTGCTACCTTAATACCTCTTTTTGCTATGTGCACATGATTCTTGCCATGCTATGCCTTTAATCTTATAGCATGACATGGTGATACACAATAAGTGAAAGGAAACTGTGTTTGTGAATTATTTGCTTCTGGATGTAAGGCTAGTTTTGATTGATTGTTATCTATTGAAGAATTGAATGTCCAGTTGATTTCTTCTACCAAAACGTGGCACTGCTTTCAAACAGATGTATATTGAGGATAGCAAAAATGCTTAATCTAATTACTATTCATAGGGGAGTGTGGGAAAAGTTGACATTGATATTATAGTTATATATCAGTATATGTAAATAACTTCTTTATTTTCACTTTCTTAGATGAAGTCTTCTTTGTGAAAGTCATGGGTAACATAGGCCATGTTATAAAAAGAAAGAAAAAAAAGCTTTGAGTTTGTTTTACAAAACAATATTAGGCTTTATGAGAAGTTGCATTCTTGATGGAAATGAAAAATAGAGCACAATTGAGGAACCTGTCAGAACCTTAGTTGAACCCAGCAGCAGCACTATATTGCCTGGTTGCTGTAGGCTCACTGATCAAGGCCAACAAACATCCACTTCATGTGTATTTTAGCAAGATATTGATTTACTCCATGGGTGGTCTACAAGCTTTGTCTTGCTGGAATGAATATGGTGGAGGTGTTTTGACTTGCTCTGTGTAAGTGTGATTGTAAGATTTACTATTTAATATACTCACAGATGCAATGTTCATTTCTTTGTTTATTGATCAGTTTCAGTTTTCACTTGCATTATATGCAGATGCACAAATATTATCTTTTGATGGAGGTGATTTAGGTAGAATTTAGATTTTGTTCATCTCAGTTTATGATCAGTCAGTGAAAACATGTAATGTCCTCTGCTGATTTGTTTTGTGAGTTTTCTCTACACATAGATGGCTCCAGCTCCAAAAGTGCTTAGCCATCAAGGACATGATTAATAGGCCTATGTGTCTTCACCTGATTTTTCTTTTCCCTGAGTTTTCATGGAAATCGGTACTAAGTGCTTGTGGAGCCATATTTGTGCTAATGCAATTAATAAACTAAACTTACAGTAGGTATCTCATCCACAGCAGCAATTGGTAATTGATTTTAGTATTGAGCATAGCTTAGAATGCAGTAGTAATGATGGTATTTTTGGTCTAGAAGTTTGATATCTACCTTTAATTGTCAAAATTATTATATTAAGATATTAGTTGTGCCACCTAGTACCAGTAGATAGCTCATATTTTTAAAAAAGAGACAGTAAACATTTTGGGAAAAAACTATGTGTGGGAATGAAAAATATCACCCTACAAAATCACCCAGTTACATGATTCAGAAAACTGGTAATTACAAAATAGAAATTATGCTACATTTGTAACCCTTCCCAAATTTCATAAATAGAGCCACTCAGGTGCACT